GCTCCCCAATCTTTTCCTCTCAAACATCTCATTATATTCAAAATTATTTTACTTTTTTCAACTAATTTATCTATATGTATCTTCCATGTAAGTTTTTTATCAAACCAGATACCCAAATATTTAATTTGCTCTATCCTTTCTACATCATCCCCATATAATTTGAGATTAACATTGTTATTTAATTTTCTATTTGTAAAAACCACAAATTTAGATTTAGATGTTGAGAATCTAAAACCCCATTCTAAAGCCCAAGCTTCTACCTTCTGTAATGCTTCTTGTAGTTTCTTATTTACAAACTCTATATTTTTCCCCCTCTTCCAAATAATACCATCATCTGCAAACAATGAGATTCCAAAAGATGTATCTATACTACTAAAAATATCATTAATCATTATACTAAATAGAATAGGACTTATTATACTACCTTGGGGGGTTCCATTTTCAACTTGATATTTTGAACTTATTTCCCCACCTATTTTTACTCGAATACTCCTTTCATTTAAAAAACTTTTTATCCATCTATACATTTTATCTCTTATACCTATTTGTTTTATTTTAATCAACAATCCATCTTTCCATAACATATCATAAGCTTTTTCCACATCCAGGAAGACTGCTAGCACACTTTCCTTGTTAACCTGAGCCCGTCTAATTTCATGTTCCAGACATGATGCCGGATCTATTGTACTTCTACCTTTCCTAAATCCAAATTGATAAGACTTAATTTTTCCTTTAGATTCTAAAAAATAAATTAATCTGTTATTTACCATTTTTTCCATAATTTTACCTATACACGATGTTAACGCTATTGGTCTATAACTTTCAGCTGAATTAGGATCTTTACCAGGTTTACAAATGGGTATAATAATGGCTTCTTTCCATTTATCAGGTAATATCCCTTCCTCCCACACCTTATTATATAATTCCAACAATATTTCTTTACTTATATCACTAAGATTATTTAACATACTATAACTAATTTGATCATTCCCAGGAGTAGATTTACTGGAATTTTTCAATGCTTTATTTAATTCTAACTAAGAAAACTTCATGTTAATAAAATCCTCACAAACATCATTATGGACCAATTCAATATCCTTTCGTAATGTCATTTTGCGCCCTCTTTTTTCTTTGTTATTTAGATTCTCTGTACTATGTATCTTTGCTAAACCTTTACCTAATAACTCAGCCTTACTTTTATTGTCTATTATAATATTTCCATTATCTTTTATTACTGGGAAAACATATTCTTTTGAATTTCCCGACATTCTTCTAATAGTATTCCAAACTCTATCTAAAGCAGTATTTCTCCCCAAAGACTCACAATATTTCCTCCAATAATCCCTTTTAGCATTTCTTATAGTTTTCCTAACTTCTGCCTGTTTCCTTTTATAATTAATTAGATTTTGAAAGCAAATGGTTTTCTTAAGTGTTTTAAAAGCCTTATTCCGCTGTTTAATTGCTGTTGAACATTCTGGTGTCCACCAAGGAACTATTTTTGTCATAATCAGGCGCTCGCTGATCAACTGCACATCCCCGACCTCACCTGACACCTCCCAGCACACCTGGTCCCAATTAAGAAGACCCACCTGGCAGTACTTAAGGAGCAGACTGCCAGATCTTCGACGCCTGAGTGTTAGCCAGTAATGGTTCCTTTGCCCAGAGGACCCGGACCTGCCCGAGCCATCCGAGAGTCAGCGTCTCCAGAAACCCCTCGGCTGACAAACACCGCACCGCTGACACCCGTGGGACCCGAGCCGCTCTGTTTTTCCCCGCCGGCTCCCCAGCCGGTTCCGAACACGAACACTCAAAGTCAAGTAAGCCCGTTCCTGCTACCGGCTCCAGCACCGCCGCTCCCAGAGCCCTCCTTTCCGGAACCGCCTTCCCCTGTATCAATAAATCCCTTCACCTGATCATCTGCCTCCTCTGTTGTGTTCTGCGTGTGGGCTAGAGCATCAAACCCAACATGACAATTTTCAGTTTTTTTTTTAAACCACTACTTCTAGGAATAAATACTTTAGCCGAATTAATAATACAGTTACTAATTTCTAAATTTAATTCATTTATTTGTTTACTTGTATCTATATTTTTCATATTAATCTCACTCATGACTTTAAAACTACCCCAGTTTGCTTTCCCAAATTTCCACCTCCCCTCAATTTGTACCTGGTCTTCTTCTGTACCTATTCCTATCTTACAAAAAATTGGATAATGATCACTCCCCATTGTGTTTTCTTTAAATACTCTCCAACTGCAATTATCAGCAATAGCTTGAGAGACTAAAGTCAGATCAATAGCTGATTCCTTACCTCTTACCAAGTCTACCCTAGTACCTACCCCATTATTCAAAACTACCAATTCTTTTTCATCAATTATCTCTTCTAAGATTCCTCCATTATAATCATCTTGATCTCCCCATAAAGTGCTATGTGCGTTGAAGTCTCCACACCAAACTAATTTCCCTCTCCAGTGTTCTATTATAGTTTCAATTTTTACTTTCTCTAATTTTTTGCAGGGATTATAGAAATTCATTACTTTAATATTCCCTTCATTTGTCCATATTTCTACAGCAATAAATTCTAAATCTGATATCACTTGGATCTGAATGAATTTGATGTTTTCCTTTATAAATATGGCACATCCTCCTCCACTCCCACTTGTCCTATCTTTACGCACTACTGAGTAACCATGAATACTAAATTGTAATGATGGTTTGAGCCAAGTTTCCTGAATGCATATTATATCTGGTTTTGTACTTAAATTATTAATGAACCCTTTAAATTCCTGACCATTTGCTAATAAACTGCGTGCATTCCATTGTAATATTAGCATTATGTAATGATTTGAGAAGCATCATTTTCAAAAGATCCTTCCCCATGCCTAAGTTCATCATGGATTTTCTCCCAAGATAAATCTTTGGCATTAAAAAACTTTGTAGCTGCCTTTACTATAATTTTTATTTTTTCAGTTTTATTTTTTGCTTGCTCTGAACAATTTATGATATATGCTAGAAAAGGAATCAATTTTTCAAATGTAACATTACACTGATTATTGTCTGCTACTTCTTTCTTTTCATTATTTATTTTTGGATCATTATCACTTTTTTTAACTTCTTTCACGGCTTCAGCATAATTAATTCTTTTATCAGTTTTAACTTTTTGGATTTGAGCTGCCTCTTTCCTTACCATACACCCTGCATATGCTGCAGTATGACCTCCTCCACAGTTACAACATTTCACAGGATTATTTCCACATTCACCATAAGGATGTTCACCTCCACATCTACCACACCTCTGTTTCCCTCTACAAACATTTGCAGTATGTCCATATCTTTGACATTTATAACATCTAAGAGGTGGTGGAATATATGCTCTTACATTAAAGCTCATGTAACCAATCATCACTTTATCAGGCAGAACTTTATTTTTGAATTCCAGAAGAACAGATGTACTGTCCATTTTCTCCCCATTCCTAAAAGCCTGTAGTCGTCTGATGCCTGTAACATCTCCTCCTTTTATTGTTTTCTTTAGTTCCTCCAAATTTTCTCCTACTGGAATCCCTGATATTACTCCTTTCATTCCTCTTTCTTCCCCAATTATCTTTCTTTCCAATACTTCCTTTTTACAAACCATTTGTATTTTTAGGGCTTTGTTCTTTTGCTCAGTATCTTTACAAATAATAAGTAAGCTTCCATCCCTCAGGATTTTAGCTAGTTCTACATCTCCAACCGCTTTCTTTAATCCATTCGACAAAGTGATAGGACTTATTCCACTCATATCCTGTCCAGCCTTAAATTTCAATATAACTTTACATTCTTCCATTATTATTTTCTTTCTTGTCTCAATTCTTTCTTCTTCATCCTCAAGAGATCTTTTACCAGTATTTACTCCCCTTTTAATTCTATCTCTTCCCCCTCTTCTATTTTCTATCATAGACCATCCACCTACGTCCATGTTCTCATCGTCCGAACCCCCCCCCACTACAACTAGCCATTGTTTTGATCCACTCACAATCCGGATTATGCCAAAACCACCTTTAACTATATTTTAACTCGCCAAACAATCTCCGATCGATCTTCAGTTGAACTCGCGCGCAAAATTCCTTCCTCCTTCCGCTTCCGCCTCCAACAGTCCTCCATACACCGTTGTCCGGGGTCCTCCAAAACAACTTTCCCCTACCCACCCATTTGACCACCTTCCCAGAACTTGGATCTACCCAACCTTTGGCTCTGATTAGTCTGTGTCACGTCTGGGGGAATGTTTGGTGTCTCGTCATGTCTTGATTACCTATTGTGAACACCTGGGGTCCCCCTCCCTCATGTGTTTAAATACTCCTTGTTTCCCATGTCCTGTGCCAAAGCATTTTTGTCATTTCGTCTTTTGTCATTTTCGTCTTTTCGTCACCCAACGCAAGGTTTGATTTTGTCACAGCCATGCCATTGTCTTGTTTACTTTATTGCCAAGTTTTGTTAATCTTGATTTGATACTTTGCCATAGCCTTGTTTACTTTATTTGATACTTTGTGTTCACAGTCATGTTTAATCTTGATTTGATACTTTGTTCATAGTTTTGTCACAGCCTTGTTTTGAATCATGTCTTCCATCCACTCCTTTTGAGTGTGTTTTTGTTAAAATAAAACCCTTGGAACCAACCCTCTCCGCACCTGAGTCCTCCCTTAAGATCCACCGTTCTGACAGTCTGGAACTGACCATAGTCTGTCTGACTTCACTGTCTACTAAAGAAACCTGTCTTTACCAACATGTCCATTCCTTCCTGAGGTGTAACAAAGATATAGGTCTGAAGACATTCCTAATAAGTATCAGATATAAACCGTTTTATCCCATGTATAAAAATTTGACAGCAGGGGGCAGCTTTTACTGGTATTCGCATTCATCAAAAGTTTGTACAGTTCCTTTTGAGAGGCTTCAAATTGCTTCTTGTTTGTGCCCTATGTGTTTGCTCAAAGTGTACCGTCATTCCGGCTCAGCATTATATCTTACCCTCATTCTGGCTCAGCTTTATATCAGCAAACAGCCCAATCTTAATGATCTGCCACAGGAGTCCAAGCACCAGGTGGGGTTTCCCCTCCTTCAAATCCTGAGCCCCGATGTTGACCACCTGGCAGCCAATGGCTGAAGCTGAATTGAGGGCCAAATTCAGATTTTCCTGTTGAGGGAAAGTGGATATGAAGCTTACAGAGAAATGAGAGTTACCAGCTGTTTGGAGATCTTTCCGTTTCTGCCTCTCACCTGCGTTGTGAAAGCCGTCAGTTTCTTTTTGTTGATAGTTCTCTCGTCGATCGTGTCAGGAACAGACAGGTTGATGAGTTTGCTAGAGAAAACAAGGGAGATTTAAGTTTAATGACACCCACAAAAACAGGATATTGAAGCAACAGCTGAAAGCTTACCAAAGCACAATGCCGTCTGCCACAGCTTTAAACAGAGCTTCAGTGTTTGGGTTGATGGGCAGCACATGTTTACAGTCTGGATCCTCCTCCAAAGATGAGTTGATGTAGTTGGCAAACGCAAAGCGCTCCTGCTCTGTAATTAAGACCAACATCAGAATCTGATTGCGATGCCGGTGGATGCCACTGTGAAGGGATGTGCTCCTTAGGCATTACTCACCAGAGATCGAATGCTGCGTCCCCTCACTGGAGATCTCACTTGTGCCACCTATGGCTACAATGCCTTCTTTCTTATTGAGTGCTTTCCTGAAGCCCTTAGCCAAACGGTCATCTTTCATCTCCTGGAAGATCTGAATGTTTCACGCACACTTTAGCTTAAGAGTTCTTTCAAATTAAATCAATCTGTTACATGATGTTAATAAAATGTCTATCTCAATTTCCATTGCAATTGGAATGCAGAAAAAACTAATCAAAAAGGAAAATCAGAACAGCTCATTTGTGTGTGGGACAGAGAAAGCACACCTCCTTCAAGTTGTTAGATTTTATAAGTCAGTACAGGATTATAAAACACCACTAAAACCGGTCCTTACGGTTACAAAAATAAAGTAAATACATAATCACATAGTCATTAATAATAACTTTATCAGTTTTCTACTCAGGGATAACACAGAGAAATTTAGAAAATTTGTGTTGCGACAATATGACAGGTTGATGTCATGTAAAAAATGATCATATTGACGATTTTTGCTCCAGAAAGCTGCTATACTTATATTTATCTCATAGTAAGACCTGTTTAATACATGTGGGTGCATGGTCTCTTTCAACCGTTAGTTAGTTAGTTAGTTAGTTAGTTACTTAGTTAGTTAGTTAGTTAGTTAGTTAGTTAGTTAGTTAGTTAGTTAGTTAGTTAGTTAGTTAGTTAGTTAGTTAGTTAGTGTTACCTACAGCCGTGAATTCCTCTAAGTTGATGTGACTGTCCTGATCACGGTCAAGCTTCTGGATGAGTTCTCTGATCTGGTAACCAGGCAATGGACAGCCCACCTCACGGAAGAGATTTCCAAGTTCAGAGGCACAGATGTAACCATTCCCATCCACATCTGGATGTGTTGGATGAGAGTAGAGAGAGAGGGAGGGTGGAGCAGAAATTGGAATTTTAGCAATATTTTTTGGAGCTTTTTTCTTTTTACTCAGCACATGCTCTGACCAACACTGTGGTGCTTACAGCTCTACTAAGAGCCACCTGCTGTTCAATAAGACAGATTTTTGCATAAGATAATATTCAGAGATATGCAGAAGAATTCACTAGACCGAAACCCGGGCGTATCAAAACCTTCATATCCCTCTGCATGCATGCAGGCAAACATCTGTCAGTCAGATGTGGCTGTGTTTAAACTTACCAACTTTTTCAAAGCCCTCTCTGATCTCCTCCATCTCTTCAGCACTGACCTTGGACATATTGAAGCCTGAGAAAGACACCAAAACAAAAGGCCAAAATAAGTTGGGAAATCAGGGGTGAAACACACACGTTGTTCAGCAAAGACATGTCAGAGGTCGATGGCAGCTTCAATTCATCTAGATTTTCGGGCAACCCTTTGAATGCTCATAAAATAAACAAAAAACACAATGAAGCATTAGAAAACAGGAAGTCTGGCCTCTTTTCTCAAAAAGCTCTACAGTTACGCTTGAATAAGTATTTTCTCCATACATGGACACAACATGCAGAGATTATTTGAGCTGGATGGTCCATTTCTCTGGTGGCTGCTTCTATCAATTGTGGCATTTAAAAGATTGGATAAGCTAGGAGGTGTTCTGCTGCTCTCACAAAACATAAAACCAGGTGGGAGGAGACCAGCATTAATTTATTACACAAAGAACCATCAATCTTTCCCTTTGCTTTTCCAGTCATCCAGAGACCTACACAGCCTCCAACATCTTCAGAGTCTGCCTTTGGTGCAATTTGATTCTATAATGGAGGCTACAAAAGACTGCTGTTGTAGATTATAAAGAAGGCTATTTGCATAATTCATTGATCTTTTTAATGCCCCTCTTTCTGAAACAAAAAAACAGTGCCTGATAAATGTTAGCTTATAAAAGAGAGAATGTGAGGCCATAAGCTGAAGGGCTATTATTAGTCATATACTTTCCTCTTTTCAATGTATCTAACTGACCATTAACAGGATTTTGACATTTTTTTTAGGTGCTTTGGGTGCTCATCATTTACTTTTCATTTGTTCCCTTTTATCAGGTGCATTGAAGAAAATTCAGCGAAACATAAGAACGGACAAAAGAAGAACTGCTGTACCTACAAGACAATTGGGGGGTGGGGCTGAGCTATGCCAAATGACACATGAAGTGGACTTAAAATAAGAGGCAACATGTCTGATGGAGGCAGAAATGCTCCAAGGAACCCACACCTCCTTAATATTGAAGCAGTGTTAGGTTATCTGACAGAGAACATCACTAAAGGAAACCAACATCCAAAGAAGACCTTTGGGATATTCATAAAGAAGTGTGGAGAACTATTCCAGAGGACTATTTTAAAAAAATGACAAGAACGATTGTCTAAGAGGGTTCAGACTGTGTTGAAGAAAGAAGCTGCTCCAACTAAAACACAAGTGAGATACAAGTCGTACAAACTCTGTTTTTGCAGGTAACAAGTAAATCACATATGTTCTCTTTCTATGGCAAATGTAAAATAAAATTAGGGAATTTCAGGGCTCAGGAAGATCACTGAGAATGCATCTTATTAAAAAAATAATGGAGGCAAATAGCCAAAGACACTATAACTGAAGAAATTCACTTAAAGATTATCATATTTCTTCTGAATTGTCTTTAGAGCATCTTCTTATTTTTGGTGGCTTTTAGTGACGCAAAAAAAACAAGCAAAGAAAGTTACAGAAGGTAGAAGTAGCTTCTCCGGTGTGCGATTTAGTGTTTAGAAAGAGATCTTACAATTGAAGTGAGCACTATGATCAATACAGGCCCAGAAATGCAGTCATTCAGACTATATTTATACATACATACATACATACATACATACATACATACATACATACATA